ATTTGTTGAAGCCAACTGAGATTTTATTGAATGAATTTACTATTTTAGTATTTCAAGCTAATTTTGTGTAATTTTGGTAAATATATCAGTTAAAATGATTCGGTGTTATTTTCATGTTTATACAATTTAGGCGACAATTTATCCCTCGCACCCTGTATATAATTATTTTGAACCATTCAGAAGAGATCTTTTTCTGTTGACAGATCATCGGAAGAACACATTAGCAAGGTTGACTGATAAAAGAAAACACAAATTGCCCTGAATGAGAAAATATGTAAGGAAGAGAATAAAAAACGAACCACGACTATTCGTTAATAAAATGAGGTGGAAAGAAAAAGTGTGGATATACGAATAATGGCTAAAAGATTCCAGATGAATGTAAAACAAAAAAAAAAAAATATTACACACACGACTCCTAAAAGAAATAGAGCGAAAAAAAATACTCTTTCTCTTTGCTAAAAGCCGGTTGATGTAACTTAATGTTTTCCGCTTCAGGTAAACGGAAATGTTAAGCAGTCCGGGCTCTGAACAAAACAGTGAACGAACGTTCCACGTATTTTGCTGAACAATTCGGATTACCCAGCAAGAGTATCTCGCAAATTAAAGGATCAGAAAAACCCTGTCCTATACTAGCAGGAACGTGTTGATCAATCCGCGTAACATGTCGCTGATTGGTTCGTCCTGAATAATCAGCCTCACACTGACATTTAAATTTGTCGATAATAGAACTATTTTGTAGGTAAGTTAAACCATCTTTGGCAAACGAGATAAAACTGGATTGAAAAAGTCCCGAAAAATGATTAAAATGATGTGTAAGCCTCAGATTGTAATAAGCTTTTCGATTTATGATTAGTAAATTGAGTTTTACTTAATAACAATATTTTCTAACCATTACATCCCAAAACTGAATTTTAAAAGATTTAAATCGTTATAAATTATTCTAATTGAATTGTAAAAAATGAAAACAAATCTTGTAAAAATCCATTATCCATTCAAAAAACCTTTTTTTCTTGAAACAATATTGTCCTAAATATATCTTATTTATAAAAGCAATTAAAAAGCTTTTCTAATTCATTAATGTCTTATTTTTACTGCTTTTTAATTTTACTATTCAGAGCAGATTTTTGGTAAGACAGGGTCCGATTGTACAAGAAAAATTATTCATTTAGATTCTCCAAGGAGTTCCACTTTTAACAATTTCAACTTAGTCATTAAAAATGATCTCGTTGAATTTCTCGAGTTTTCATAAAACTAATTACAGACAAGTTTCTTTGTATCCTTCTTAGAAGAAGCAAGAAAATTACAATGTTGATGCATATTTATTTTATTGCGAGTACTTTCGACATTAGCACAATGTCATCATCAGGGTGTTTTTTTTTCTAAGACAAAAATATGTTGTGTCCCTTCTTTTAAGACATGTCGAAAGTACTCGAAATTAAATGAATATGCATCAACATGGTAATTATCTTTATTCCTTTAATAAAGGTACTAAAAAACTTGTCCGTAATTACGAGAGGATCCTATTAAATATAAGTAGGCAAAATATTTCTAAATTATTTAATGAGACGAGTCTTAATGAAATCATGCTGCCAAAATATATGCAATATATATATATATATAGAAACAAAATTACCAAGATTTTCTAAACAAAAACAGTTCTAAAATAATTTCTTTCATTTGTGAATAAGTCTTGAAGAGTTCATTAAAATCCGACAATTATTTGTTTTTTGCAAGAATTTCTAAATCTGTCTTTCACCTCCAAAAAAGATTCTAAAATTTGTTATGCTAAATTACAGTCCATCCGCTGACACAAGTAAACAAGATTTTAACTAAAATTTTGAATCCTTTAAAAGGATAAAAATCATAACTAAATAATCAAAAAATAATTTAGTATTTCCTCTTGATGATAACATGAGATTACAACGACAAAATTTAGTTTTTAGCAAGTGTAGAGCATTTTTCATCATCAGTCCGTTATGTGCCATGTGTGATACACGCTTAGGCGATCATGTATCTTTCGATACATGACTGACGAGGCAGATTTTTTCCCGCATTAGGTTGCTATTTCTTTCTGCGGTAGACAAGTTGCCATCAAAGGCTATAAAACCCGTCCTGTCCTGTTATTTACCCATAGATGAGAGGGGAAAAAAAGGATTCGTACATTTCCTAAGGGTATTAGCACATAAATGAATATCAGTCAGTTATGTGCCATGCGTGATACACGCTTAGGCGATCATGTATCTTTCGATACATGACTGACGAAGCAGATTTTTTTCCCGCATTATGTTGCTATTTCTTTCTGCTGTAGACAAGTTGCCATCCAAAGCTATAGAACCCCGTATGTCCTGCTACTTACCCATAGCTGGGGTGAGAAGAAGAAGAGGATTCATACTTTTCCAAAGGGTATTAGGGTATTAGTACTATTCATACTATTCCAAAGGGTATTAGTACGTAAGTGAATGTAATGGATTCGACTAGAATTCGAACTCGGCTCTCCGATTCCTCAATCTCGGCCGCTATCCATTACTCCACCGTGCCTCCCATTTCATCATTGTATGCTCTTCCTTCATCGATGTGTGTGTGTGTGTGTGTGTGTGTGTGTGTGTGTGTGTGTGTGTGTGATCGGATGTTGTTTATGCATTTCCACACTTTTCATACGATTTTGATGAATATTTTTGCTTTATAGATAATTCTTCAGTGCCGGTTTTTAGTTCAAATTGTTGGCGATAATGGCTCTCCACTATTTCCTGTCCATTATAACTGTCAGCAACGTTTTACTATTTAAATCTGTTATTGGATATATATATATCTTTCGTAAAAACTTTAATAAAAATAAATAGTTTAAATTATTAAAATAATATTATTATATTATTATACTGTTCCCTTTTCAGGGCCACCTCCCACCATTCAAGGAATCATATTTTTTAAATAATAATTATAATTTAAGCTCTACTTCTGTATGGAGCACTGTTTTTTTTTAAAATAAAAACAAAAATATTAAAGAATATGTTAGGTAAATAATCCGGAGTTCTTTAATATTTTTGTTTTTATTTAAAAAAAAAAACAGTGCTCTATACAGAAGTAGAGCTTAAATTATAATTATTATTTAAAAAATATGATTCATTCGCTACATAAGAGTTCTCATGTTTCAAAAACAAGAGCCAAAAACCTCAATATAATTATTAAAATTAAATTGAACTAAAGTATCAAGCCCTGTTTCATCCTCAAGCGAAAATTTAAGAATAACGAATCTTGAAATTTAAGCATCATTATAAGCATGTTCATTCGCAAAATTAATTACTATGGAAACGGCTGGGGTGACCATTTTGATAAGGGGCCTAAAAGTTAATCTGCATTCACATATCAGTCACCTTCGGAAAGAGGTCAAGCCGAGGTAGGGCCGGGGTGTCCATTTCAAAGCGAATGATGGCATTCATGTACGCACATCGTCTGGTCAGTCACAGCGAAAGATAGCTGTTGGCACCATAATACGTCATTAATGTCTAAAAAATTTTATTTTATTTATTTTTTCATAAAGGGCCGTTTCGTACATAAACGCGTTGCACTATATTATATATATATATATATATATATATATATATATATATATATATATATATATATATATATAATTATTAAGTTAAAAATATGATTCCAACTCGCGACATAAGAGGTCTCATGTTTCAAAACAAGAGCCGAAAACTTCAATATAATTATTTGAATTAAATTGAATTAAAGTAAGCTCTGTTCCATCATCAAGCAAAATTTTTTTTGGAATAACTTATTTCTGAAATTTACGTGTTTTAATAGTATATTCATAATTGAAATCAAAATTTCCATGGTAACAGCCAGGGCGAATTGTTTAAAATAGGGGTGTGTTGGGTGTTAATAATAAGTATCAGTATAGAGTTACTTTCATAGATGTCAAGTCAGGGTAAGGTGGGGCTGTCTAAATTTGAAACGGAAGATGTTTTCGCCTAGTCTGGCTTACGTGTCTATGGAGATTTATTTATTTTTTTATTTTAGTTTTTTTATGAAAGGGATTTGTGCATATAAAAACTGCCGTAACATTTGTTTTTTGACGACTTCATAAAGGGTTATCTTTTGTACGGTATTTAAACTATTTATTTGGGCTATGGCTTATAAAAGTTATTATATTGTATGCATGTTATTTAATTCAGTGCGTAAATTTGATGAAGTCGGCAAAAAACCGTTAACTCATGTCTATTGTTTAATAGATTTTTCTTATTTAGAAAATTAATAATATGCAGTTTCTCATGGAGGCACAAAGGGCATGGGTCATCCCAAGCTTTACAAGTTCTAGTCCTATTTATAATTTTCCATTGTACTTTAGGTGTCCTATTAATTTCCTTAATATATATATATATATATATATATATATAACTCGGATCTACAATTCCCTTAGCTGAATATTAAAGATAAAATCCCTTTCTTGGATGTGGTAGATGATTTTTTTCATATGTTTAAGCGCGCGAAAATGATTTCCTATACGGACACATAATTTTATAGAAACAAGTACTTATCAAAAGTAGTTTCCTAATCAATCTTGACCTTAAGGCCACATCACTATAAAACTTCGGTTAGTGTACGATCATCTGAGTTAAGCAACGTCGAACCTGGTCGAAGATGGTTGAGAGTTTGGGAATATCAGGTGCTGTAAGCTTGGATGTGCGGGTGGTGTAATGAATGACGTCACGGAATTGTAAATCGTAAAGCTGAGTTCTAATTTCCGTTGGGTACATTATATTCACTTGCGCTTAACTACACTTGGGAAGCGTATGAATCCACTGTTTCTCCCCCAGCTATGGGTTAATTAGTAAGACTTGTATTATTAAACCATTTAAAAATTTAATTTCAATTTACAATCTCTAGTTTATAGTGATTCGTTTTGATTTATTTTTAAATTTTTGTCAGTCTCTTGTTATCGTTTTCATCTTTTTCTTTGCTTTTTTTATCTTTTTCTTTGCTTCCTTTCATAGTTTTCTTCTTTGCTTTTTCATCTTTTACTGCTGTACTTTTTTCATATTTTACTTTTTTCTTTTTTCATCGTTGCTTTTTTCATCTTTTTCTTCTTTCCTTTTTTCATCTTTTTCTTCTTTGCTTTTTTCATCTTTTTCTTCTTTGCTTTTTTTTCATCTTTTTCTTCTTTTTTTTTTTCATCTTTTTCTTCTTTGCTTTTTTCATCTTTTTCTTTTTTTTTTTTCATCTTTTTCTTCTTTGCTTTTTTCATCTTTTTCTTTGCTTTTTTTCATCTTTTTCTTTGCTTTTTTTTTTTTTCATTTTTTCTTTTTTTTTTTTCATCATTTTTTTTTTTTTTTTTCATCTTTTTCTTTGCTTTTTTTTCTTTTTTTTTCTTTTTTTTTTCATCTTTTTCTTCTTTGCTTTTTTCATCTTTTTCTTCTTTGCTTTTTTCATCTTTGCTTTTTTCATCTTTGCTTTTTTCATCTTTGCTTTTATGATCTTTTTCTTCTTACCTTTTTCATCTTTTACTTTGCTTTTTCATCTTTTTCATCTTTGCGTTTTTTCATCTTTTTCTTCTTTGCTTTTTTTTCACTTTTTTCCCATTCATTCTTTTTCTTCTTCCTTTTGTTCTTTCTCGAATTCTCTCTTCTTTGTCGTCTTTTTTCCCATTCATTCTTTTTCTTCTTCCTTTTGTTCTTTCTCGAATTCTCTCTTCTTTGTCGTCTTTTTTCCCATTCATTCTTTTTCTTCTTCCTTTTGTTCTTTCTCGAATTCTCTTCTTTGTCGTCTTTTTTTCCCATTCATTCTTTTTTTTCTTCTTCCTTTTGTTCTTTCTCGAATTCTCTCTTCTTTGTCGTCTTTTTTCCCATTCATTCTTTTTCTTCTTCCTTTTGTTCTTTCTCGAATTCTCTCTTCTTTGTCGTCTTTTTCTCTCGTCTGTTTCTTCTTGTTTCTATCTCTTGTTTTTTCCTTCTTTTCTTTGTTTTTTTTTTTGTCTTTTTCGATCGCTTTCCTTCTTTTTCCACCACCCCCGCCTACGCATCTTCAATTTCATGGCATATATTTGTTAAACCATATGTCTACCTCTTCTTTTATCCTCCATTTTAAATATTTCTCCGCCTCTTTTTTCTTTTCTTTGTTTTTCTTTTGCATATCTTTTTTTCCTTTTCTTCTGCTTTTTTTGTCTTTTACTTTTTCATTTTATTTTACGTTTTTTCCTCTTTTAGTTTCTTTTCATTCTATTTATTGTTCTTTCTCTTTTTCTTTTCTTTTTATCCACTTTTTATTTTTTCCTTCTTGTCTTTTTCTTCCACCTTTTCTTTGTCCTTAATGTTTATTCTCTCTTTTTTCCATTTCTTTTTTTCTTTTTACCTTTACATTTCTTTTTCCTTTAGTTTAAAAGTATATTCTTTCTGTTTTTCTCTTTTCTTTTCTTCCTTTTTCTTTTCTTTTTCTTTTTTCCTTCTTGTCTTTTTTTATCCCCTTTCTTTGCCTTGAATGTTTATTCTCTTTCTTTTTCCCTTTTTCCTTTTTACCTTTACATTTCCTTTTCTTCTGGTTTAAAAGTATATTCTTTCTGTTTTTCTCTTTTATTTTCTTCCTTTTTCTCTTTTGCTTCTTTTTCTTTCTCCTTCTGTTTCTTTTTCTTTCTTTTGTTTTCTTTTAAAACCTAGCCTTATTCTTCATTATCTCTCTTCTTCGTTATCATGTCCTTCTTTTTCACTGTTTTCACTCTCGTTTTCCTCCTCTTCTCAACTTATTTTTTTCATATCTTTCTTTCGATGTTATTATCAAAGTAGACCCAAACTCATCCAATATATTTTCGGCTGACACCTGCATTCTTCCCGACGCGAGAAGTTAATTCGCTTCTCTCTACCAGTTCCATCCACTTTCCAACCCATCAAGCTTAACTTTCACTTTCACTTTCACTTTCACTTTCGACTTTTGTAAATCACATGACCTTTGCCAAACCGTTGGTATATTTGAAGCATCAGTAAGTGCAATTTTCAACAGATCCGGTCTTCTGTGATGATAACACCTTCTTTTCTGGAGGTATTGATTTTGATGGTAATGGTAATGTAGTCATTTTCTTATGTGGAATCTTGACCGAGTTACCGCGGTTTGAAATTTATAAAATCTTTCTCTTAAAACAAAATTTCAGGAAAATAGGTTTCAGTTGTCCAGTAACTGCTATCGCTCTTTCTAGATGGGTCCTTCCTACCTAACCTGTTGTTTGAAGTCAACATTTTGATTGTTATTATTTTCCCGCTATCAATAATATTTTAGCATCCCGCCACCACTTTCTTATCGATGTCGATTCTCGTGCAAATCTGTGCAAAAAGCAGATCACAGAGCTTATCCAGCTTCATACATATTTTCAGAAAACCTCAACTTCTAACAAACACACAAGTGGACGTTGCAACTTACCCACGTACAACTCTTTTTCCAGTCTAATTTTCCCGCCAAAAATTAGAAATATCTTCCAGGAGACGTTCACGTAATTACGTTGATTATAAATACCAGACACAAGATCGTTCTTCCTTTACTCTACTCTACTTCTTGTGATTACGAAAATGTAGCTGGTAAAGAACTCGCGTTCCGCCCCCAGTTCGGGCGGACGCTATAAAAACATATTCACACACGCACACATACACGAACGTACAAAACTTAATTACAGACATTACAGAACATTATAAACTAATATATGACAAGCTTTCAACTAATCAACACAACACATATACGAACTTTCAACTCTTTTACAGTGAGACAAAAAAAAAGTCAACCAGACACATCGTTGCCACGCTAAAGAAAATTAACTTGGATATTACAGTATTTTCCCCTTCTTCAACAGCAAGAAATTACTTTAAAGAAAAAAGATTTTTCCTGAAGTTACAAGTTTACCAAAGACATTTTCAGTTCTTCAGGACATAATTCAAGAAACTTTCTCACTCATTTTTATTTAACAAAATTTGATCTTGGCGAATTTTAGCAGAAAGACTTATCGTAATTATCTTCAGAAGTACAAAAACTAAATTTTATTTAGTACCAAACAAACGTTTTTAAATATCAAGTAAATATTCAAAGTTACTTTTTACGAAACACATTCTCAAAGTGAACATTTTGAGCGGCAAATTCATTCAACTTTTTATGAGCTCAGATAAAAAAAAATATTGAATTAGTAAAAACTTTAATTCCATTCAAACGGAAGTAACCCCTATGCTTGTACATCATTACAGACATAAGTATAAATATTCTATTTTTTTTTATATAAAAACGTTTTATGTTCCTTCTTGTTGGTTTTTTTTTTAAGCGTTTCACCCCAGGCAAGGCGAGAATCCACTAGGACGCAAGGGGTTACAAAAAATTTGGAGCAAGATCAGATAGGACTGATAGAGGAAAGGATAAGGAGAAGGATAGTGGATAGATCAAGACAACTGGAGATATCGATTGACATTACATTTGAATAGTTGGAGATTATAGCTCTCAGAGAAACTGGAATAGGGAAGAGAGTTCCACAGGCGAGGAGTGCGAGACATGAAGCTATTGTAGTAGAAGAGACGGCTACATTTAGGAGTTTCGACAGTGAAAGGATGAAAGCGAGATATCAGCCTCGTAAGGCGCTTGAATTCCTGAAGTCTGGGGACCAGCGAAAGCAGCTCCCTTGTTGTTTTTCTTGTTGCTTTTGCGTTTGCTTACACATTCGTAAAGTAAAAAAATGCACGGGTTGATTGAGGCCATCAATACCGCTACAATATAATCAAGATTTTAAAGTTCCACGTTACTAAAGGAATAATAAAAAAAAGTATGGAAAGCATATCAATTGCTAAAATCAACAGGAATGCTGGGAAGGCGAATTGAGCTTTAAGAAGACTTGGTGCCACTTGATCCCAAATAACAGCTACAAGTTTCTAGTTGATTTATACCAATATTAATGATAAAATAGCCATAAACCGATTGACCAACGCAGTCTCTTCAACATCACCAGAAAATTTATCGTCTGCTTTCTTCGATTTCGTCCAGAGGCGCTAAATGTCAGCATCTGGACTAAAAAATTTGTCAAAACCTCAATAAATATTCTTATGGCCAGAAATAACAATTTAATCAGATAAATCTAGATTAAAAATATGTTTTAAAATTATTGAAGTCTTAAATATTTATTTACACTAGTTACTTTGTTCGGACTGTTGTCCCCATCTTGATTGTAATATTCACAACGTTGCAGCCGTTTTTCGCTCCGTTCTTCTTCAGGAAATATTTAAAAAAAATTTCGAACCGAATCCAGAATAGCCAATCTGTATGTAGGTGTTTCTGAATATTGGTTCGTTGACGTTTGTGTAGACGTCTGTCCCATATTTAGCAAATAAACATGGAAAGAACGGCTACATAAACGTTACACTACCCCATTTCAGACATATAGACAGATGTAAAAATATTTCAGATGTAAAAATATTTCAGATGTCAAAATATTTAATGTACTCATTAAAATCTAGAAAATATTTCAGATGCTAAAAATTTAATGCACCCATTAAAATCTAGAAAATATTTCAGATGTTAAAATTTTAATGCACTCATTAAAATCTAGAAAATATTTCAGATATAAAAAATATTTAATGCACCCATTAAAATCTAGAAAATATTTCAGATGTTAAAATTTTAATGCACTCATTAAAATCTAGAAAATATTTCAGATATAAAAAATATTTAATGCACTCATTAATATCTAGAAAATATTTCAGATGCTAAAAATTTAATACACCCATTAAAATCTAGAAAATATTTTAGATGCTAAAAATTTAATGCACCCATTAAAATCTAGAAAATATTTCAGATGTTAAAATTTTAATGCACTCATTAAAATCTAGAAAATATTTCAGATATAAAAAATATTTAATGCACTCATTAATATCTAGAAAATATTTCAGATGCTAAAAATTTAATGCACCCATTACAATCTAGAAAATATTTCAGATGCTAAAAATTTAATGCACCCATTAAAATCTAGAAAATATTTCAGATGCTAAAATTTTAATGCACTCATTAAAATCAAGAAAATATTTCAGATATAAAAAATATTTAATGCACTCATTAATATCTAGAAAATATTTCAGATACTAAAAATTTAATGCACCCATTAAAATCTAGAAAATATTTCAGATGCTAAAAATTTAATGCACCCATTAAAATCTAGAAAATATTTCAGATGTTAAAATTTTAATGCACTCATTAAAATCTAGAAAATATTTCAGATATAAAAAATATTTAATGCACTCATTAAAATCTAGAAAATATTTCAGATGCTAAAAATTTAATGCACCTATTAAAATCTAGAAAATATTTCAGATGCTAAAAATTTAATGCACCCATTAAAATTTAGAAAATATTTCTGTTGTTAAAATATTTAATGCGACCGTATGATGTTTTTCCTTTTTTAGTTTCTTTTCATTTTATTTTTGTTCGTTCGCATCTTTTTCTGTTCTTTTTATACACTGAAATACGAAAGTTGAATTGTTTCTGTACTGTTTGTATCAAATATTTTAATTTAGCGTAATTCCCCATCTATAACACGCATCTTTTTCTAAAAAAAATAATAAGCAAAATTAGGGTTGCTTATTATGCACAGCTACAAAGATCTTCAAAAATTGCCGTTTCATAGGTCGATTTCAGTTGCGAAATGACTACTCACCACAACATATGACAATTTGACACTAACATTCGGCGATTGCGACCTCATAAGGATGTCAAATACAATCATATTTATCTAACAAAACTTACAAATGTAAAATAAAATAAGAATTATCATAAAACTAAATTAGAATAATATTATTCTATATTTAAAACCATTTTTGTGAAAAACCACATACAGATCCGTTAAATTACATGTTTTATCGGACAAAAACAGGGCGTATTATGGATGAGGGCGTATTATACATGAGGAATTACGGAATGCTAAAATGGCAACGAACTAAATAGGAAAATCCTTTAAATTGTAATACAGAACCTTACATCGTGTTTGATAAACTGTAAACCATCATTAGTTCCGAATCATATTCATACTAAAGAAAAATAATTTCTCGTGTAACCCGCAACATTAATGTACCATAGTCAATTTTGATAGTTTAGCTACACATCGACTCCTTATGGGTCATTTAATGCCAAAATGTAATTTTCTTTGGAGCATTATTAATTTCTTTTACAAAAATATTGTATTACTTGTAATTTTGTTTTTCTAAATGTATTGCTTGTATTTTTTAACTATAAAAATGTATTGCTGGTATTCTTTTAACTATGAAAATAAATTGCCAGTATTCTTTTAACTATGAAAATATATTGCTGGTATTCTTTTAACTATAAAGATGTATTGCGTGGTGTTCTTTTAATTATAAAAATGTATTGCTTGTATTTTTTAACAATGAAAATGTATTGATATCTTTTAACTATGAAAATGTATTGCTTGTATTCTTTTAACTATAAAATGTATTGCTAGTATTCTTTTAACTATAAAATGTATTTTTAAACTTTCATAGTATTTTGTTTTTGTTTAGGGGTTCACTATTTACCCATAGCTGGGACCCTATCAGGTGCTACCCCCACCCTAGTGTCAAGGTGAACCTGTGAACAACAGCAACTGAGAGGTGATTCTACACTCCTCAAAACCTCCACTCTCTCGCTCGGAGGTCTTGCTACCGGATGTAGTTTATCGTCGTACCCGGGACGATCAAATAGAGTAGATGAGGATGCGTGAACAATAACCATATGACGAAAAATTGTGTTTTTTATTATAGAATGGATACGAGGAGCTGGTAGAATAACGGTTATCGGCGCGTAAAATGGAATCGTAATAAAATACTGGCCTTGTCTACTCCGTTCATTTCAACACTAATAACCTCGGGAAAGGCATGGATCCATCTCACCCTTAGCTATAGGCTTAAATGATACGATAGAATAGACTCTCTAACCCTTGGATGTCAGTCTACGAGAAAAATACTCTTAATTCAAAACCGTGGCGTAGACAAGAGGAATCCACTCCACTCTTTTTTCCTAAAAAGTCATGGTAATTCACAGATAATTAAGAAGAAGAATATATGGATAGCCGTGATTGTCAATACCATGAAGGGACACGGCATTCTATTCACTTGTGGAAAGCGTTTTCTTTTCTTCTCCCACCCGCTATAGGTTAAACAGTAGGATAGACCTGGCTTTATTTCCTTGGATAGCGGCCAGTCTAAGAGAATGACAGCTCTGAAATGCAAGAACTATGGAGATTACGATTGGAAAGCATCTATCTTTCCAAATTCCCAAACGATTCAGAAAAGGAATATTTGGAGATCCATGATCGCCTACGTCGCGAGGGGAGATCGTATTTGGGTTAGTCTTATTGTTTTTGCGCTTTGGGATCGTTATGAAGTACAATTTACGGATTCTTTATTTGTGGGGGGTTGATAGTGCGAAACTAAAATCACAGATAAGGGGGTAACTGCAAGAATTGTTCGCTCATTGGGATCCGATAATGGCGGAATTTCTTCCAGAACAACAAGCGATACATTCAGCTAGAGTTGATCTCAAGGAATATTAGTAATGACCTGTAAGACTAGCGTTCTAACCATCAATTTGAGTCGCATCTATTCTTTTTTTCTTTTATGTGACTTGTCCCTTCAGTACGTGGACGATCATGACTCTCCACAACATCCTATTCTTTGTAACGCTAAGCAATGTTTGCCTTACTATTTCTCTCGGTACCTGTTCAGCCATCTTTTCTCTGTTAATCGTTTCACCTCCAAGCAAGGCAATAAAGCCACTAAGACGCAAGAGGTTACTGAATGTTAGAGAATATGAGAAAAATCAGAGATTAAGAAGAGAGAAGATAACGACTGAAATTGCATTTACATTTTTTTAAGATCACAGTTGTCAAGGAAGCAAGAAACAGGAAGTATGTTCCACAAGCGAGAAGTGCGATAGGAGAACCTCTTAGTATAGAATTTACAGTTATATCTTGCCAAGCCAACTGTAAAATGATGAGACCTAACCGCCAATCTAGTATTGTACTTAAATTCATTAGGTTCAGGTACCATAGAGGAAACATAATCAGAACAATTACCATAAAGGTATTTATAGATAAAGCAAAGGGAAACTACATTGCGGCGGTTTGACAGTTACTGAAGCCGAGGACCAATAACATTGCAGATTCTTGGGATTCTATCAAAACTCGAAATAGGAGCAGAAGACCAAATGTAGCAGCAATATTCAAAGCATGGACGAATGGTAGACTCATAAATATGTAACAGATTCTGTCGAGAAAAAAAATGTCTAGCTCAACACAGTGAACCAATTTTTCCTAGGTGCCGACTTAGCAATTGATTTTAATATAGTCTTTCCACGTCATGTCAGCTGAAAACATTAGTCCGAGAAAGCCGAACAAGTCACTCTCCTAGAGGTTAGCATCAGCCATACTGACGGAAGGTAAAGAAAAAAGTTCTCTTACACGATTAAATGAGATCAGTTTTGTTTTTGAGGCGTTAAAATTAACAAATCAAACCTTGTCGCATTTAACAACTGATTGGAGGTCATTTTTATATATATATATATATATATATATATATATATATATATATATATATATATATATATATATATATATATATCTGTGGATGACGTTATATATATATATATATATATATATATATATATATATATATGTATGTATGTAACGCTCGAGGCGGTGTAATGGTTAGCAAGCTTGGCTCGCTTAACAATTACGACTGAGTAGTGAATTGATCCTCACTGGTACCCCCTAATTTCGGCCTTGTGCCATATTTAAGCTACGCTTGGAAAATCACTATATATATATATATATATATATATATATATATATATAACGCATAGAAGTTGATATGTCGCTAAACAAATGCAATGCGACTTACGGATTTAAATGCCATATTTTCCGTCAGCCATATTTTATAATACGGTAGTTAAATTTCAGTACATGATTGTTAAAGTATAAATATAACAGTCGATTGGGTTCAGATGTATGCTTTTACAACATAGACATGCCCGCAAATGCATGCTCGTACGAAAAATAAAGAAGATGCAATATATCGACCTCTTTCGCTCGCTCTACCTGCGTCCTGACATGACTTTAATGGCAGTCGGAAGGCGGAACGTACGGTTGGCACGAAAAAGCGAAACCGTCCACGTGACCGGTCTGAAATGAACGAGAGTCCTGCGGCGGACGCCACCAGAGAGACGATGGCAGGCAACCCACTCACTACTTTTACAAGTACACCTAATTTATTATTCATGGTCCACTGAGATCAATATTCGGGGGTTCAATTCAGTATTTTCCTTTTATTTCCTTCTTCATTCGCATCTCTTTCTGTTTTTGTTTTAATTTTCTTTGGCTTTTCATTCACTGAGTGAATGATTGAACAAATGAAAAAGCGTTTTGCTGACGAGGACTTCGAGTTCAGGTTATTTTAAAAATGTATGAAATGCCAATATTTTTAGTCTCCTTTTCTGTCGAACGAAGCGATGGTTGCCGTGTCGTGTCGTTCGGGGTTTGTGACTTGTATTTTCTATTAAGGTATTGATTGTGTTGAGTTTTTTCTACGTTTTCTATCGAATCGGCTTTGTTTTTGAGGTGTTTTTCCTCTTTTGCGTGCATTTCAAATGAACATATTGGCCTTTGTCTCTTTCGGTGAAAGCAGCGAGCCATTTTTCCAACGGTAAATACAATTGTGAGAAACGAGCATTAATAAAAGCCTAAAAAGTTTAAGTAATAAAAGAGTGACTGCATTAGACAGTTTGCATCTTTCTAGCTATCTATTATTCAAACTTCTCATATCTATCTATCTATCTATCTATCTATCTATCTATCTATCTATCTATCTATCTATTCAACCTTTTCGTATGTATGTATGTATGTATCTATCTATCTATCTATCTAAATCTCTTCATATCTATCAATCTCTTCAAACTTTCCGTCTGTATGTATGCATGTATGTATCTATCACAGTCTCTTCATATCTATCTATCTATCTATCTATCTATCTATCTATCTATCTATCTATCTATCTATTTAACTTTTCTGTATGTATGTATGTGTGTATCTATCTATCTATCATATCTATCTATCTATCTATCTATCTATCTATCTATCTATCACAGTCTATTCATTATCTATCTGTCTATCTATTCAACCTTTCCGTATGTATTTATATATGTATGTATCTATAATAACACAGTCTCTTAACAGATCTATCTATCTATCTAAAATTTTCAATCTATCTAAATCTCTGGGAAATCTATCTATCTATCTATCTATCTATCTATCTATCTATTCATTTATCTATCTATCATTAAATCATTATCACCCCCCATCAAAAAAATCAATATCTATCTAAAAATATTATCTGGCTTTAAATAACCTGCAAAGGGTTGATAAATATAGAAAATCTGTCTATCTATTCAACTTTTTAGATTTATTTATGTATATATGTATATGTATCAGAATATAACACAGTCTCAAACATAGGGATCATTTTACATAATGTATCTAATATAAAATTTCCCCTATTTATATATCTGTCTATTTTTTGGTTTATTTATCAAATCTATCTCATACTTATCGCCCTTTAAACTATTATCAACTGAAAACAAGTTGACGACCTAAAAATAATGGCTGGAATTGTTAACCTGCTATAGAAGAGAACAAGTTCAATTCCAGCCAAGTTCATTATATTTATACGCATTTATTAACAGGTCGGGAAATGTATTGATGTGTGAACCTCCTCTGGTTGTCCCCTCAGCCATGGATTCATTTGTTAGATTTCTATCATTAAATCATTATCGAACCCCCGTATAACATTTAAAAAATAAAATATACATCTGTAAATTATTTAAAATTTAAAAATATTTTCTGGCTTTTAAATAACTGCAAATTTTTGATAAACTGACGAAAAAAAAAATCAATCAATCAGTCTTTTTTTTTTATTTAATTTTGTGTTGGTATATTATTCTACAGAAACTACCATGGCCACAAACTGAGGGATCATTTTACATAATTTTTATATCTGTTTAGAATCGGTCCCATATTTATGTTCTATTCTAATATTTTGTTTTTTATAAAATATCTGATTATGTAAATTGTATTTAAAATTTAATTATCAACTGAAAAAAATAACCCAATAAAACGACCTAAAAATAGTTCATGGCTTTAAATAACCTGCCATAGAAAACGAATCAATCAACTCTTGAATATTTAAGTTAGTAGGTATTATATATTTTTTTTTTTTTTTAAATAGGTCGATTTTGTATTTTTTCTGTTTGAATATGGTTGTAAACATTAAAAAGCACATTACATGTAACTTTGATTTTTATACCTAAGAGAAACTGCAGCCATATTGCTGTTCTATTTTAATATGTATGTATTTAAAATAATAAAAATATACATCTGTAAATTATTTAAAATTTAATAATTACAATATAAATAACCCAATAAAATGATTTTAATTAAAATATAAACTGTAAAACAATTCCACTTTTTGATAATAAAACTGACGAAAGAAAAATAAAATGGAGGTTAAACATTCTTTTTTTTTTCATCATTCATTTTGTGTTTTTCGATTTAATTCTCTTTAATATCACTATAAACATTTATTTCTTTCTCTTACATGTTCCTTGATTTTAATATATCCGTTTTTACTGCAGCCATATTGCTGTTCTATTCTAATATGTATGTATGTATAATAAAAATATACATATGTAAATGATTTAAAATTTAATAATTACAATAAAAATAACCCAATAAAATGATTTTAATTAAAATATAAAGTGTAAAACAATTCCACTTTTTGATAATAAAACTGACGAAAGAAGAATAAAATGGACGTTAAACATTCTTTTTTTTTTTCATCATTCATTTTGTGTTTTTCGATTTAATTCTCTTTAATATCACTATAAACATTTATTTCTTTCTCTTACATGTTCCTTGATTTTAATATACCCGTTTTTACTGCAGCCATATTGCTGTTCTATTCTAATATGTATGTATGTATGTATAATAAAAATATACATATGTAAATGATTTAAAATTTAATAATTACAATAAAAATAACCCAATAAAATGATTTTAATTAAAATATAAACTGTAAAACAATTCCACTTTTTGATAATAAAACTGACGAAAGAAAAATAAAATGGAGGTTAAACATTCTTTTTTTTTTCATCATTCATTTTGTGTTTTTCGATTTAATTCTCTTTAATATCACTATAAACATTTATTTCTTTCTCTTACATGTTCCTTGATTTTAATATATCCGTTTTTACTGCAGCCATATTGCTGTTCTATTCTAATATGTATGTATGTATGTATAATAAAAATATACATATGTAAATGATTTAAAATTTAATAATTACAATAAAAATAACCCTGTAAAAAGTTTTTAATTAAAAGATAAACACTAAAACTATTCAGGGATCACTTACATAATGATTGTAATATTGAATCAGTCCCCTAGTGTATCTCTACATTATAATATTTTGTTTCTTTATCAAATTCTGATTAGAGAATTCCCGTAAGATATCTTCAATCACTTCTAAGATTCAGAGCTTAATCTAACAGTTGGATGTCTTCCCAAATGAGAAATGGTGCAAGGAAAAAGATCATTCAGACCTTCAGTAATGGTACCAACATTCATACTCTGGCTTCCATCTTCAAAGTACATTCAAGAACTGTCAAGAAAACGGGGAATAAGTTTTAAAAAGAAGAAACAGTAGATAGGAAAACTGAATCAGGAAGAGACAACAGCAAGAGGAATCATCATTTCAACTTAGAGCTAAATACATTTTTCTTCTTATTATTATTATTCAAACTCCAAGAGTCCAATAATGTTATAAAAACCTCGGAGAATTCCAATAAGATATCTTTAATCATTTCTAAGATACAACGGTTCAGAACCTAATCTAACAGTTGGACAATTTTGCTGTTACACGATTTGGACAATTATGTTGTTACACCCGGTATATACATATGTAAGATGTATAAATCGACAAGTCTTTAGCTTGATAATAAAAAGAGCTTTAATTTTACACAACAGCTATATTTTTTCAATATAATCTTTCTTGTTAATGTGATTCACATAAGGCTTTACAACTAATATAAAATTGTGAAAGCTAAGTTTATTCCATAAGACTTTAACAATATATTCTAATAAACATCAATTATTTCTATGAGCACTAACGAAGTTTTTTATGCAAAAATAGGAGTTATACACTGAGAATTTCACATTAAAATTCAGCTAATATATATACAGTGTAACCCGGATATAAGAGACCCGGATATAAGAGAAACCCGAATATGAGAGATTTTCTCTGGTCCCAAAGTAGAGCCTGTGTATATAAAATAGACCAAACCTGGATATAAGAGAAACCCGGATATGAGAGACTTCTTCTCCGGTCCCGACAACTCTCTTATATCCGGGTTTCACTGTTTATGACAGGTTACTGGCTTATTTATGCAACTTCGCATCATTATTGAAGGGGATAAACTTTTCGGAAGCATTTATTTAACAAATCCTACCTGTGATATCACCAGCGAGAATAGTCAAAACTTAAAAAATGAAAGAAAAAAATAATTATTTTTTTTAATGTTATTTTAATAACAAAGATAAAAAAAAGTAAAATTAAAAAATGCAATGCATAAATAAACAAAGGAATATATACAAAAACAAACAAAAAAAAAAAAAAAACGAAACAAAAAAAAAAACGAAAAGACCAAACAAGGCAATAATAAAACAAATACTCTTTGAAGTCTGCGCCGTCTTCACCGCCATGTCACACTCGGCGGAAGTGCTGGATAAACACCTTCCGTTTGCGGTGCACGACGGGAGAATGTCTCCATTTTGCTTCGCGCACCTGTCGAGTGTGTCAAAAACAATTACGTGCGTTCGCTGTCTCTCTCTCCTTCTCGGCTCCAATCATTCGATTTGACAGCTCCAACGAATGTGATTAACAGGGAAAAATCTTTTTGCTGATTAAAGGTTCCCCCTCTCCATACCCGAATTGCTACCGACACCCTTAAACTCCACCCCGTCACCCAATCTTAATGCGAATGAAATACGAACCGGCATGGCATTGTTTTTTTCTTCTTCTTTTAGCGAAGATCGATTCAAAAAGTCATATTCTTCACTCACAGGTGTACCTCGTAATATGTATTAAAAAAAAACGGGTGAAAATGATGACGTGTACAATATTTTTTATGTGTCAGTGGGCGTAGTGTTCTTCTTCTTCTTCTTCTTCTTCTTATTATTATTATTATTATTATTATTATTATTAACACTTAAAAGAAAAGTGCGATTCAAGAAAATAAAAGAAACTAAACACGTTTGACAATGTTAAAGAATACATCAACAGAATGTCTTCCTTAAAGCTATATTTAAACATTTTTTTCAAGGCTAAAAATATAGAAATCTACAAAAAAATTATTATAAGTCTTCGTACAAATGTTGCTTGTCTTGTAATGAAAAACGGCCATACTGGTAATGAATGAAACGCATGAAGAGAATGACAGGAGAGTTCTATAAGATATATACTAAAGAATTGATTAATTCCTTTGAGTAACTAATCAACCAAAGGAAAATTCCAAAATGAACAAGATCACCATTACGTTTCAGCTGCCTGACTTCACGCTGGCGGCATTTCATTCGTTTTGACGGGTTCATTATCAGGTCGGCCGTTATTTCATGGCAAGACAAGAAACGTTTGTACAAAAAATTATGATTTTTTTTTTTAGATTTATATATCTTTATACATGAAAAATAATACTTTAAGTATAACCTGAAGAAGACAGACATATTGTCGAAATATTGTTTAACATTGTCAAAGACTGTGTTTTTTTCTTTTCTTAAATCTCGCTCTTCTCTTAACTGTTGAAGAATATTGGAAGGCTTACATCAATCATTTTCTTTATTATTATTATTATTATTATTATTATTATTATTATTATTATTATTATTATTTTCTTTGATTTACGTTTACACATTTCTTTCGGGTCCCGCCCAGGGACCTAAGGTTAGACATGCCATCATGACACTTTCCACTGACAAAAAAAAAAAAAAAAAAAAATTTACATAGATAAAGCCCTTCGTAAAGTGTGCTGTACTTGTCAGAACAATTTTTTGTATCACCTTGAGGCATGGACTTCCAGGAATCCCTTCAATTAGTCTACTGCAATCTTTTCCAACCAGCCTGAGGGCACCAACTACATCAGGGATTGTTGATGTTCCCATATGCCACATTTTCGAGATTTCTATTTCAAGGTCCTTGTATTTTGATGGCTTTTTGAATATCTTCAAAGATACATT